CACCCATATGGGTCAGCTCTCCAAGACGGGAGGATAAACTTTACACTCCGAATATCCAGACGTGGATGAGCCTGGCTGCCCTAGTATAACTAGATGCACGATGGCTTGCGCCGGGATTCCTAGAAGTAGCCACAACGGTCTTTTTCAAGGCTTAGCTAACTGAAGGATTTTGGGTCTCTTGGCCTAATCCGTGAGGAACCGGGCCCTAGACACGGAGGGGGCACATTACGCAGTACGCCCTATAGACGGCTGCCCTGGAACCCTAAAGCTGCTACCGAGTGCACTAAGGTAGCCTACGGATTCCGGAAGACTGCCTACGGCTTGCCCTTCGAGCAGTAAAGCCGCGCTAGACTTATACAACCGTACATTTTTGTGAAAAGGTTAAACAAGCTAGCGCATATACGAAGTTATATCCACTGCCGACATGCTACGTAGTCGATAAGCTTCACCTCTGCCAAGCGCGGAACAACCTACACCAAGTCCTAAAGTGTTGTGATACTTGTTACGCAACCTACGGAATTGAAGAAAGTCAAGGTTAACAGCCTAGTGGTTACGCGGACTTGTCTACTTCTGTAAGTAAGGCATCCGGCTGCCAACCCTATGGCTAACAACTTTCCAAAGTTCTACACCAACACCTACGGCTGTATAGGCTACGCGAGCTTGTCTGCTTATAAAAAGTAGCATGCCTGCCACTGGTCTATCAAGTCTAAAGGTTAGGGCATGAGCAAAATAAGCGAAGATGAAGAAAAACGAAGGAAAACATATTTATAAACAAATAGCAAAGGCCGAAGGAGTTCAAGCAAAACAAGAGCTACAAGGAAAAACAAGGAAAATCCTAAAGGCTACCTAGAATACTACACTACAGCAGCTTGGACATCCCACGACTACTCGGTCGCCACACCTTCAACAGCCGTAACGCTCTTAGCAGCGGCATCATCCGGCGCTTCACCCCCGATTGCCCCAGCCTGGGCACTAACTTCTCCAACTACTTCACCAATAGAAGCCTTAAAAGTAAAAGCAAACAAGTCTTCCGGAGAAATAGAGAAGCTCATCTACTCCCTTCTCAGCATAAGCAGCATTCAACTTTTCATCCTTTGCATAAGCAGCAAAACGAAGCTCAGAAACTGCAAACTCAAGATCTTAAATCTGAGGTATTGTAACATTCAATCTCATTCTCTGTACTTTCATACTTAACTTGGATCGCATCAAGCCTAGTCTTCAAGTCAACAATCTCGTGGCGAGCGGTCTCAAGCTGCAGAGAAGCAGGGGCATAAATATTAGACCACTTCAAAGCAACAAGCTCAGAATCCAACCTCTTAATCTCCTCGACTGAGGAATAAGCTTTAGCTGCCATAATCTTGGCCACCTCTTTGACGGCCTTGCTATATATGCATCATAGCAAGCAAAGTAGTTCTATATTGGGTCGTATGTTTCGTAAAGGAACTTGGGCAAACAACCTTTTTACCGCTATCAACAAACTTGGCACAAACGTTCATGACTTCAAGCAGATCTAGTTTTAAAAGCACATAGATCGCAACAGCATCCCCAAAAGCAGGCTTAGTGGATTTCTCATAGCTGCCCACGCGAGCAATATCTTCTTTCCTAGTAGGCGAATCAATCTCAGCAGCAAAGAGAGTAGGCTTTGGCGCCACTTTAGCAGCAGAGTCCACTTTACCACTCTTCATAATAGCAAGTTTCTACAAAGGTGAACCAGACATGGCTCCCAACGAACGTCCTGGTACAGACTTCGGCACTGGGGGCATGATAAAACCTTTACGCTGAGTAATTTTATCAACAATTGTACTAGCCATTCTCAACATGGAAGACGCCACATGCTCAGATCTAGCAACCTTATTTTTCTTCCCATTGGAAGAAGTCATGTCAATCACATACCTCTTGGTAGCAGGCGGACCCTCATGAGCAGCGGAAGAAGTCTTCAGTTTTTTCTTAACTGGCATCTTATGAGCAGGCGGGGAAGATCTCTTCTTTCCATCTTCATTCATAGTAAGCTTCATGACAGCGATCAGACGAGCCAATGCATCCGCCTTGATCCTCTTTACCTCCTCTTTCGGGAACAGCCCACATTTCTCTCAGCAAAAAGGACTAAGCAGCCAACGACATTCATGGTACTCAGCATGGGAGCTCAACCCAGCATTCCAGCAGGCAGGAGACCTGCATGTCCAACATTTCAGCAGCCTATGAGACCCACAATCTCCTCATTTCTCTCAGTCAGGTCCAAAAGCCCAAATGACATGAGCTATGCGGCTCGCCTAGCACTGCGCCCCAGCGCCACAATCCGCGACCCCAGCCGCACAAACTGCCCTTAGCTCAAGCCAAGCCAAGTTGTCCAAGTAGTGGTCCCTGCCACGACATCTCCTCGGCCTATGCCGAGCCAACTCCTGGCCCTTGCCAGCCGACATGCCGCACCACCCCGACGATTGCCCCGCAATAGCACTATCCGAGAAGAAGGCAAGAAAAATTAAATTGTTCTTACATCGGTGCGACACGGGGAAGACGAAGAAATCAACGAAAGACGGTCCTTTGCACGGGCAAGATGTAGAAGATTGCTAGAGAAGGGGGAACAAATATCCTCTAACTTTCTCTCTCTTGTGGGGTAGACTAAATTGCTCTCCAAAGTTGATTTAATAACCCACTTAAGGTGGACTTAAATAGGCTTTGAGAGAAGTTTATTTTCCCTTCCTAGAAGGATCTAATTTCCAATTAAAGAGAGAATCTACATCAAAATAGGAAGCAGTCCTAAGTTTCCTAAAGCAAGAAGATCTCTACACCTGCTGCCCTTTTCTGCGAGCAGCCCAACATGTGTGGGGGCATTTGTGGAGCCAAAAATATTCACAAGGCGACACGTGGATTTTTGGACAAAAAAGACAAAATACCCTTGCAGTACAACGAGGTTCCTACGCACAAGCAGCAGACAACCCTCTTTCAACCAAGACAGAAGTGCCCAAAATAGGTAACAATTCAAAGTCCATCTCATCAAATCCTTTCTACAAGGTAATTCCCAAACACATTCCTTTTAAAATTATGTTAATTGGCTAATTAATGGGTTTATTGCCTAATTAACCCATTAATTGTCAATTAAACCATCCATTATATCCAAATAACCACAAAATACATCCAATTCAACCCTAAAACACTACATGGCCGGCCATCCCCTTAGCTTTCTACCTTCCTTATCTTTTCCCACTTTATTTCCCAAATAAAGCTAATCATTCAATTTGATAACCCCCATTTATTTCTATCATATTTTATTAGCTAATAAAGTGGCTAATTAAACCACAAATTCACCAAAAAATGGACAAAGTGGCCGGCCACTTCCTTTGAAAAGTGGACCAACCTAGTCCTATAAATAGGGACCCATTTTCACCAAACACCCATTCCAAACCTCTTGCAAAAAATCCCAAATACTCTAAACACTATTTCTCTCTAAAATTCTAACTTTGGCATCGGAGGTTCTTCGGCCAAAGCCCCCCCAATTCATCGTGGGCGCGTGAGGCTTTTGGCCTTAACCTAAGGTACTAGTTGTTTTGTAGGTGCAAAATTGTCCAATATCGAGGAGGAAAATTTGCATCCACAGTTAACATTATGTTTGAATTTTGCTAATTTACTTTAGGTTAATGCTAAGAATACTAAATTTGTAGACAAAATTTAGAAATCAAATGATGTGTTACTATTAGGAAATGAGTACGTTTATTAATGCTTAAGTAATAATTCAATAATCAATTGTCATATCATGTAGTTGAGTAATGCTAGGAAGATTAAATTTGCAAACTAAAAAATGTGTTATCAATAAAAAAATGATCACGTTTATCAACGTTTAAGTAATAATTCAATCACCAACTTTCATGTTATTTATTTACTAAATTTAGTTTACAAATTTAGTTTCCCTAACATTACTCTATTTAGTTTATAAAATTTTATATAGAAATTCAATCTATTTAGCATTACTCGTTATTTTATGAATCCAATATAAGTGGAAGTTTAACTATGTAGTGGCCCCCACGCAGTCACGCTTTACTTCACCCAGTTTTCTCTTTTTAATATGAATTTCATGTCTACACGTTCGATAAATGCACTTTATTTATTTCCCAAAAATGATTCTTTTCCAATATATTTAAAATGATTCGTTTCCCAAAAAGTTGGTAAGAAAATTCCACAAAAAAAGTATTTTAAAAACGTGGAAATTGTGTCCATCGAAGCATCCATTTTGCTGGTCAGCATTTGACAACATTCACACTTTTCCGTATTAAATAATTGAACACCATTTCCTCAATCGCCACGTATCCCCTTTCCAACCCAACATTTGCACAGTTTTGGTAATTTTATTGTTTTTACAAACGATAGTGTTATTGAATTTTAAATATTGGGAAGAGAGATCGGCAAGAATCTATTCCCCACCAAGGTACACACTCATTTTTTTCAATTAGTTTACACATTAAATTTGATATTTTTCAAAACAAGTTATAAAGTTTTAATTTTCTCATAATGCGTTTGAGATTTTAAAATTGTGTCAACTTATTCATTTTTGTGATGTATAATGCTTAGCAAAATTGAAGATTTATTTTAATAAATATCGTATCGTGCGCAAGAGACTGACACAATAGTCCATATAAAATGCTCACAACGTTATCAATTTAAATGAATGATCAAACGGTTGGTTAGACGGAGAACATATTTCAATGCAGTAAGGTACAAAATGAACATAATTAAAATACGAGGGTTTATTTTGAAAATGACCTTAAAGTGAAGGGTATCAAATATCAAATATGAAGTGCCTCGTTGTTTCAAGTTTCAACAGCAATAAAGCGACAGCGTGTGATATTTTGCTTTTTATGTTAATTTATTGATTAAATTCTGGAAAGTAGTCACAATTTGACCAACGACTCTTCTCCTGTAAAAGTGAAACGAAGGCAAGAATTTTCAAAGCATAAAATAATTAAAAAAATATTTGCGAAAGGTGGCTGTTTGCAGGTTCGCATGAACTTCCTCTGCTTTTTCTTCGTCGATGGCGCACTTTTTCTATAAAACCAAGACCAAAATCTCAACCCAGAAAATATCACCTCCCCCTCTTTCTTCTCCAAAAGCACTATTCTTTGAGTCTCACAGGAGTGGAAAAATACTTTCTTGGTGAAGAAAATAAAGGGTTGGAAATTTAAGTGTGTACATTTTGTGTGGATTGATTCAATTTTTGTTTTCTTAGGAGGGAAGAAAAGTAGTGAGTTCAATCGGTTTCTGGAATTGGGTCAGCCGGATTTGGCTGTTTGAATCAACCCATTTTCTGAAATATTGAGCTGAGGGGGATTTGTTTGGTTTTTCGAGCTAGCAACCATGTCTATAGCGACAGCGCTTGCCGGGGAGGACTTATCCCGGCAGACCAGCAGCCGGGGGAGCTGGCGGTCTGCGAGTGTGAGGGAGATGTGGAACGCGCCGGACGTTTTTCAGCGAAGCGGTCGGCAGCAGGTGTTAGATGAGGAGGAGGAGCTCAAGTGGGCGGCCATAGAGAGGCTGCCCACATATGATAGGATGAGGAGAGGGATGCTGAGGCAGGCCATGAGCAATGGGAGGGTTTTGACTGAAGAAATCGATACGGCGAATCTTGGGGAGCAAGATAAGAAGCAGTTGATGGAAAACATACTTAAGGTTGTGGAGGATGACAATGAAAAGTTCTTGCAGAGAATGAGAGCCAGAAATGAAAGGTTTGTGATTTGTTTTCTGGTTTTGTTGAATTGGGGTTCTGATATATTTATACTTTGCTTGTTTGGTTGGCGAAAATCGGGTTGGATTTTGAATGTTTTTGGTTGATTGGAAACAGGGTTGGGATTGATGTGCCTAAAGTTGAGGTTAGATTTGAGAAATTATCAATAGAGGGAGATGCATATGTTGGCAGCAGAGCACTTCCAACACTGCTAAATTCTTCCTTGAACATGATAGAGGTATTTTACATAATATCTATTGATAGTAAAGTTTCATTGTTTATTTCTAAATTTCTATGGTGAACTCACGGATTTGTAAATTTCTATGAATGTGAATAGGGAATAATTGGAAAGCTTAAACTCGTACCATCAAAGAAAAGAAATGTTCAGATTCTCAAAGATGTGAGCGGCATCGTGAGGCCATCGAGGTATGCTCAAGATCTTTGCATATTTAATCGCTTTACTGGACTAGTGTGATGTTTTTTTCCGCATCAATAAGATCTCAAACAATAGTTCCTGTGAAAATATAACACAAAGTAGTTTCTTCAAAAGAAATTAGTTGCTCATACAGAAGAAAGATGTAAAGGAACATACTAGTCTTTGCTCAACAACATTTAAGAGCTTGGTCTCTTTGTTTCCAGGATGACACTGCTTCTGGGACCTCCTTCATCAGGAAAAACAACACTTTTAAAAGCGCTTGCGGGCAAACTTGATAAGGATCTAAGGGTTTGTAATCCTCTCTATCTCCTTACATTTTATTGGGTTTTTCTATTGCAGACGAGCACTTACATGTTCCCTTTTTTGTTTTTATATATACGTGCTGACAATTTGGGGTTATGAACAGGTAAGTGGAAAAGTGACCTACTGTGGCCATGAATTTGTGGAATTTGTGCCTCAGAGAACCTCTGCTTACATTAGCCAGCATGATCTTCATTATGGTGAGATGACAGTTCGTGAAACGTTGGACTTTTCCGGACGTTGCCTGGGAGTTGGAACCAGGTACGATATGCTGGTAGAGCTGTCTAGACGGGAGAAAGATTCTGGTATCAAACCAGACCCTGAAATCGATGCATTCATGAAAGCAACATCTTTGGCTGGCCAGGAGACGAGTTTGATCACAGATTACGTTCTCAAGGTTTGTAAATTCAATCATAAGAATGTGTTGTTGTGCTCTTATTGTACAAGCCTAAATATTTTTTGTTCTTCTGTCAGATACTTGGATTAGATATTTGTGCTGATACCGTTGTTGGTGATGACATGAGAAGGGGCATATCTGGTGGACAAAAGAAACGCGTCACAACTGGTATGAGATTCTATGTCATATTGCTCTGAAAACAATAAACTAAAAGAAAAGGCAATGATTTTGCTCTCAAATGTGTTTCTAAGCATGAATGTGTATAGTATGTTGACCATGATATTTCAGGCTGAATGCGTGTGTAAATGTATTTCACTTTGATTTACTAGAAACCTAGGAACCAATGCCATTATTTTCAAAAGGTGTTTTTTTTTCTCTCAAAATTTTTCTTTAATCCATATTGGAATAATAGGAATGATATTTCATCTGCAAACATTTGCCTGTAACTATAACTGGAAGTCGCTTCCCATAATGCAGGAGAAATGTTGGTTGGACCAGCGAAAGCGTTCTTCATGGACGAAATTTCAACGGGGCTGGACAGTTCCACTACCTTTCAGATTGTCAAGTTCATGAGGCAGATGGTTCACATTCTGGATGTGACAATGGTCATCTCTCTTTTGCAGCCTGCACCAGAAACATATGATCTTTTTGATGACATTATCCTTATTTCTGAGGGTCAGATTGTGTACCAAGGCCCACGAGAGAATGTACTTGAATTCTTCGAATATATGGGGTTCAGATGCCCGGACAGAAAAGGTGTCGCAGATTTCTTGCAAGAAGTGACCTCAAAGAAGGATCAAGAACAATACTGGTTTAAGAAGAACGAACCATTCAGATATGTCTCTGTAGCTGATTTTGCACAGGCTTTCGCCACTTTTCATGTTGGCCAACGTCTTGCTGAGGACCTAAGAGTTCCGTATGATAAAAGAACAGCCCATCCTGCTGCCTTGGTGAAGGAAAAGTATGGAATAAGCAGTATGGAGCTTTTCAAGGCATGCTTTGCAAGGGAATGGTTGCTGATGAAGCGTAACTCATTTGTGTACATATTCAAGACTGTACAGATAGCAATCATGGCTACAATTACTTTCACTGTATTCTTCAGAACAGAAATGAAACCTGGGCAGTTAGGGGATTCGGCAAAATTCATGGGAGCATTGTTTTTCAGTCTCATTAACGTCATGTTTAATGGAGTGGCAGAGCTTTCAATGACAGTTTTCAGGCTTCCGGTGTTCTTTAAACAGAGGGATGCCTTATTCTACCCTGGATGGGCTTTTGCCTTGCCCATTTGGCTAACCAGAATTCCCATTTCGTTTATGGAATCTTTAATATGGATCTGTTTGACATACTATACCGTTGGGTTTGCACCTGAGCCCAGTAGGTAAGCTTTAATTTATCTCTATTATTATTATCGGAAACTTTTTCTTCCTTTTGCTACATGAATAATGAAAGATAGACATCCTAGCTATTCTTTTGTTTGACGTATGTACAATATGTTCAGGTTCTTCAAACAGCTCTTGGCTTACTTCGGTATACATCAAATGGCACTCGGACTCTTCCGTTTCATTGCTGGCCTTGGAAGATCAGAGATTCGAGCAAGCACTATTGGTTCCTTTGCATTGCTAATAGTGTTTGTCCTAGGAGGCTTTGTTGTTTCTAAAAGTATGAAATCTCTCTATAATTGCCAACCTAAGTTATTGCATATATCAGCTTGATACTTTTATCATTATCATGTTTGAATCAACAAAGTGTTGACGTTTTAGTTTATTTCTGATGATTTGAAATGTTCACAATATTCTCATTTTGGTGTGCAGATGACCTCGAGTCGTGGATGCTATGGACCTACTATATTTCACCTATGATGTATGGACAAAATGCAATTGCCATCAATGAATTTCTTGACAAAAGATGGAGCACTGTAAGTTCTATCAAATCTCAGTTGAGTTCTTCTTGTACGGTAATATTAACATTGAGCTTAACAAATAACAAATTGTGTGATTCCTTTGCACAGCCTGTCCTCAACGCCACTGAAAACACAGTTGGAAAGGTCCTTCTGGCGGGAAGAGGCCTGTTTACCACGGAGACTTGGTTTTGGATTTGTGTTGGGGCGCTTTTCGGGTTTTCTATTCTTTTTAATCTTCTCTTTGTTGCAGCATTGACCTTCTTAGACCGTAAGTGAATTAGGTTCAATCTTTGTTACTCGTTGGTACTAGTAAACCATGATCATTGGTTTAAGTTCTGATTATTTGCTTTCTCTTTTAACTAAATTGCAGCAATTGTTGATAATAAAACCTTAATCGCTACTGACGACTCTGAAAATAAGAGGAAGGGACAACCCAATCCAGAAGGTAAGTGTTATATTTCCTGAGGATCTTAATTTGCATATGCATTGTAAATATTGGATTACTCAAACTCTCATCCATCTATTTACCACACCTGGCTGTAAAAACAATGTATTAGCGAGATAAGCATTATACCAACCATGGCTGCACTACAAAACCTACTGCATAAAACTTACATCTCGAGCAGCATTTTTGCTATCAAATTATACTCATTGTCTAATACATAATGACTAATGACAGGTACTGATATGCAAGTGAGAAATCAAGCCAAAAAAGGAATGGTTTTACCCTTCGAGCCCCTTTCACTTGCTTTCAACCATGTGAACTACTATGTGGATATGCCTCCTGTAAGTAACTTTGTGTCTATTTTCTTTGATATATAATTTCAAGAAGTCAAAATGAGTACTTATACATCAACAAGGCATTAACCGAAATGAAGAATGAGTTTCTGCTCTTTAGTCAAGAAGTGACTGTTTTAGTCTTGCAATCTATCATCCGATGGCAAACACATGTCATTGGCCTAATATGATTCTTCTTTGCCTTACATTTATTGATATGACTTTCCTTGGTGACAATATTTGTGTTCCTTACCAGGAAATGAAGAGCCAAGGGATTGAAGAGACTCGACTCCAACTTCTACGAGATGTTAGTGGTGCATTTAGGCCGGGTGTTCTGACTGCATTAGTTGGTGTCAGTGGTGCTGGAAAGACAACCTTGATGGATGTTTTAGCCGGAAGAAAGACTGGTGGGTATATTGAAGGAAGTATTACCATCTCTGGATACCCAAAGAACCAAGCCACATTTGCTCGGGTCAGCGGCTATTGTGAACAAAATGACATTCATTCACCATATGTTACTGTTTATGAATCTCTCGTATACTCTGCCTGGTTACGTCTTGCCAAGGATGTCACGAAGGATAAACGAAAGGTATGTCATTTATTTTAATCAATTTGATTCTGAGTAGTTCTACCATTCAATTTCCAGTCACTTGGAATTCAATCTTACTACAATTGTCTTTTCTACTTGTAAAGAACATGATGACATACATGATGTAGCTGACTAAGATTTTATTTTTCTTTCTGTTTCTGTAGATGTTTGTTGATGAGGTCATAGATTTGGTTGAGCTTAATCCCTTGAGGAATGCTTTAGTTGGACTTCCAGGAGTTAATGGGCTTTCAACTGAGCAGAGAAAAAGGCTGACTATTGCTGTAGAATTGGTTGCTAATCCTTCCATCATCTTTATGGATGAACCGACATCAGGTCTTGATGCTAGAGCAGCTGCTATTGTTATGCGTACTGTTAGAAACACCGTGGATACCGGACGAACTGTTGTTTGCACTATTCACCAACCTAGCATTGACATTTTTGAGGCTTTTGATGAGGTATAATATGATCCCGAATCTATCAAATCTGTAACATTGTTCAGTATTTTTTGTGCCATATTTCACCTCGATTTTGTTTTCCGTTGCAGCTGTTCCTAATGAAAAGAGGAGGACAAGTTATTTATGCTGGACCTCTAGGTGCCCGGTCTCACAAGCTTGTTGAATATTTTGAGGTAGGTGCTTACACTACCTTTCATTTTAATTTCCATTTAATGATCAAACTGCTCCGTTTGATCTAATCCTGACTTGGGGTTAACGCAAAGTTCAGGAAGAAAAATTTTCAAACATCAGCAAAACTTGTTATATAGCAAGGTAATTAATAGTTAAAAGTTTGACTAATCCAAAACATCTTGCAGGCTATTCCAGGGGTTCCGAAGATCAAAGATGGTTACAATCCTGCTACCTGGATGTTAGACGTCAGCTCAGCTGCCGTTGAGGCTCAAAATGACGTAGACTTTGCCGAAATATTTGCAAACTCTGATCTCTATAGGTAAGTTGCATGTAAACATATCGTCTCTTCATTTCTGTCAGCCATCCACTTGTCTGTTTGTGTTAAAAAATTTACGTCTTTTCTTCACATGTTCAGGAGAAACCAGGAACTTATCAAGGAACTAAGCACGCCACAACCAGGCTCTAAGGATCTTCACTTCCCCACCCAATTTTCCCAAAGCTTTTTAACTCAGTGCCAAGCATGCTTCTGGAAACAGCATTGGTCATACTGGAGGAACTCGCAGTACAATGCCATTAGGTTTTTCATGACAATTTCCGTTGGAGTTATATTTGGTATTATCTTCTGGAACAAAGGAAAGAAAATGTAAGTTTAAGAACTTTATGATCACCTACATTCCTTTAATTTAATTTGATTTTGTGGCCCACTTGCATGTTTTCACCAATTAAGAAATTTGTGTTTCTGAGAATTGTCAGTTAAATAATATTCAACTGCATATTGACTTGTGAGCAGGGATACACAACAAGACATCATGAATCTGTTGGGGGCAGGATATGCTGCTGTTCTTTTCCTTGGAGCGGGCAATGCTTCTGCTGTGCAATCGGTTGTTGCTGTTGAACGAACAGTTTTCTACCGTGAAAGAGCTGCTGGGATGTATTCTGAGTTGCCTTATGCATTTTCTCAGGTAATATTTGGAAACTATGCTCATGGTTATGTGTTTGGTTGCTTTTGCAGGGCGTTCAAATCAAATGTTTACTGATTCATTACTTTGGTGTTGCAGGTGGCTATTGAGACACTTTACGTTTTAATCCAAACCTTTGCGTATTCCGTTATTTTGTATGGCATGATTGGGTTCGATTGGAAGGTGGACAAATTTTTGTACTTCTACTATTTCATATTCATGTGCTTCACATATTTCTCCATGTACGGGATGATGGCAGTTGCCCTAACTCCTGGTCCCCAAATTGCTGCAATTGTTATGGGCTTCTTCATGAGCTTCTGGAACTTGTTCTCTGGTTTCCTCGTCCCACGAACGGTATGTCATGAGTTACTCTTCTTACTTTCATGCCTTAGAATGTTGAACAAATGAATTATAAGGACAACATGCAACAAATTGTTATTAGAAGTCATTACTCATCGGAGTTTTCTTATATCTTATATACCTTGTTAGGGGTCATATCTGTTACTACTGTAATCCTAACAATTAAATCTCAATATTGCAGCTAATTCCCATCTGGTGGAGGTGGTACTACTGGGGTTCTCCAGTCGCCTGGACAATCTATGGCATCTTCGCATCTCAAATGGGCGATATTAAGAAGGTCATCGAAATTCCTGGTGAGAAACCCAAAGCAGTGAATCAGTTCCTTAAGGACTATTTGGGTTATGAAGAAGATTTTTTAATCGCCGTGGTGTTTGGTCATGTTGGTTGGGTCCTTCTCTTCTTCTTCATGTTTGCGTACGGCATCAAGTACCTTAACTTCCAAAGGAGATAAGCAACTTCACTCTGCAGAAATGTGAAATAGATCATCTACATAGATTCGTATGAGATACTCTAGTCAGTTAGCGATCACAAAAACATGTAAACTCGTTTTGTTGTTTGCCTTTTCGTTTGGATATTTTTATCATGTAATTTTTGTTTTGCTTCCATACATTTTCACCTTGAATTAATGTGTATAGTTACTTATTCTTCGAGTACTCAATAAAAGTTGTGCATTTTTTCAAAAATGTGTTGGTATGAAAACAACGCTGGTGCTGTGTTTTGACAAGGTATTAGCAAAGTAGTATGGGATTTAGGGCTAAATTAGCAGAGTGTTTGGTAAATTTTTTTGTAAAAGTGCTTTTGGAAAAAAAAAAAGCAGTCTAATAGTGGGTCTTTTCATTAAAAGGAGCACTGTAACTCCGTGCGCTTTGAAAAAAAGCCAGTTTTCCAAAGCTGCAAATAGCTGCTTCAGCTTTTTCCCTTGATTTCAGCTTATTCTCACAGCAGCTTTCAAAATAAGCCATTTTTTTTTAGTTTACCAAATACCTAAAACCCTCAGTTTTTTTTCATGGATGCTTTTTTTTAAGCACCTCATTCCCAAACCACCTTAGTCTACATTCGTTAGAAATCGCAGCGTTTATTAACCATACCAGGCGAAACCGCTTCATAATTGTTTGCTACATCTGCTCTGCTCCCCAGTATGAATCTTTCCTGCAAATCCTGTCATTTACCTGAGCCAACAATAGTATATACATGCATATATCCATGCCAACTCAGTAACATCATCTGTATTAACCTTTTACCTTTACCCTAACCATACAAGTTGAGATTGCCAAATCCTTTGGTAAAACTTTGAACTCCATTCAGAAACAAGTGATGGTTGCAGCTCTCTAATTACCGACTGCAGAAAATCACATTTACAGGACAAGTGATCAATATTCATCTTATACTCTCCCATCTTCTCTCCTTCCATTCACACTTCAATTACGTGGCACAAACGTCGCGCGCGTGTGCGCGCGTGTTTGATCCCTCAAGTTGGGTTAAGAAATTATTCTCTCATGAGTCATCATGTGATTATCTTGGTAACTTATAACGATTATACTCTCACAAGGTCAAAAAACAACGATTGCTAGAAGAAAATTGGATTAGATACTTGTCATTTGTCTTAAATAGTGCTTGGCAAGATATTTCCATCGTCCAATGGCTCACAAAGCTCACACTTCATTTTTGTCACAGAGCTCACATTATACTTTTCATGCTTTACTAGCTTAGAGTTCATCTGAATTATCGGGAGAGGAGTCGAACTTGACTAAATTCAGGTCTACAACTTAGTATTCTTGTTAGGACAATCATAAATTATTTTTAAGGTTGTAGGCTTGCAATTCAAGTAATTAAAAATGACGTGACTTCACTAATCCACTTGTTATAATAAACAGAAAACAAAGTTGATATTTCATATTAAGTTGATAATGCTACATGACGGTGTGGTAATTTTACCTAAAAACTCATCAATGGTTGAGTTTAGGTATTCAAATAAATAAAGAAAAATATAAAAAAGAAAGTTCAAACTAAAAATTGAAGTATTAGATTCAAACATCCAACAGTCAAGAACGTCCGATTATAATAGAATTATCATACTCCTCAAAAGGGAAGCGTGGCATTTCATTTGTCGGTTTTTCGAATTTAGATATTTACAAGCAAGAATGCATGCATTCTGCTGCGGGTTTTAAAGAACACCATTTAAGATCATATATAACGAGTTTTGATATTGCCATTTCGATGTAAATTGTTTGAGAAGGCTAAATTAGCAACATACTATCGAATTCATTTCCAATACCTATCTTCAAGCATCCAAGCATGCTCATTGCAATACAAACATTCATCTATGCTCTTCTCTATTCCATGATCGGGTACCACTAGGAGGAGGAAAAGTACTACTTCTACTACTTCATATTCATGTGCTTCACGGACTTCTCCATGTATGGGATGATGGTCGTTGCACTGACACCCGGCAGTCAAATTGCTGCCATTGTTATGTCATTCTTCATCAGTTTCTGGAACTTGTTTAGGCCTTCCTCATTCCCAGGCCGGTATTTAATCACAACTAATCTTAAAAAAAAAAAAGTAGATACGATATAAGAATGCACTCTGAAAAACAATCGAAATTAAAAGTAGAAGCTACTACGTTAGGTAAATTAAACTAATTAACGACCAAAATAGTTCATACTTAACTGTTTTTGTCGCAGCTGATCCCAAAATGGTGGAGGTGGTACTACTGGGGTTCCCCAGTTGCTTGACCAATCATTGGCATTTCGCATCTCAAGTCGGGGATAAGAAGACGTTACTTGAAATCCCTGGCTCAGCGCCAAAGCCGGTGGATGCATTCCTTAAGGAGTACTTGGGATATGACTAGGATTTCCTTTTAGCAGTAGTCTTTGCACATCTTGGTTGGGTCCTCCTCTTCTTCTTCGTCTTTGCCTACGGCATCAAGTTTCTTAACTTTCAATGGAGATAGAATTTTCCATATGCCTTCAAGAACAGATTACAGATAAGACGGATGTGTGCATGTTTCATTGGCAATCCTAGGCTAAAGTAGTGATCTTTGGCTGGACATATTGATGCGTGTGTGTTCAATTATATCTTCATTTGTAAATTATCACTGTAATTTTTCTGGCTTCCTTTTACAATCAATTTTTCCCTTGAAGCTTGGACGTATAAACTTGTGTGCTTGAGAAACTAAAGAAAAAAAATGCTCATTTATAATTAAACATAATGTTTTTGGTCCTCAAATTTGTTGCATTAACACATTCCTGGCCACGAAAACCTGCGACTGCAGTTAGATACCACTCTCATACATAAAGATAAACAATTTTTCAAGCGATGAAAGGTTCCATAATCACTCTGGTAAATCTTTCCATCCAGATGGAAGGGAAATGACAGTGGAGTGGACGCTGCCGCCTAATTTCCCTGACAGTGGGGAAAGGAGTATGATCATCAACTTCACAAGACATGCGACAGTGTATAGCACAAATCCTTCCAGCAGGTGTTACAGTGAGCGAACGGATTTGCAAGATTCTAGTCCATCTAACAATAAATTGAAAAAGCATCCAGTGGTGAGACTCAAGCAGGCAGCCAATGCTGATTACAACCTGAAACCAAAATGTGTGAAAGCTTCAACGACAAGAAAGGGCATACGAACTACGTATATTACTGCAACTGGTATACAAAGTAGCGATTTAAGATAAGTATGGATGCAGTTAAGTGAAATTAGTAGAATCAGCTTTGGTAGGGATTTTACCACCTACAAAAGAAGGGATAAAAACACTTTAAATACTTGCAAGAGTACAAGGTAATTGTAGTATAGTCGGCTTTAGCAAAGTCGTTCTCCATAAGGATTGAATGAATAATTAATTTTAAATCAAATCTTAATTAATTATTTAAAACAAAGATTGAAAAAAGTTGATTTTATGATTTAAAATAATAAAAACGAATTTAATAGAAAATAATTAAATAAAGTGCCTAAATAAAATAAACTAAAAAAAAAACAGTTTTTGAAAATTAAAATTGTAAAAGCCTAGGGTTCTGCTGTCACCTTAACAATCATATGTAATTCTTTCAATTACTTATGAATTACCCATGCTTATGTTTGAAGGTTAGGTTTTCCTAATATATATCCTAATTGGAACCTCCAACATAGAACGTATATCTAACATGCAACCCGTCCAGTTCAAATCAAATATGAACATGAAAGACTCATTATGCTTTATGAAAACCCTTTGAAAAATCATGCAAACCCTTAAGACGTGGTGGTCATCCTAAGTGAACTTGCACATATTAACCACAAGAAGCCTTCGTCAAATTCAGGGACCGACCTCTAACCAAAATTGCATCAAATTACTTTTCTAAATATCCTAATGACAACTAAGCATTAAGACAAATAGATAGTTTAAACCGGTGATTAATAATTCAAACATGCATGCATAATATCATAAGTAAATAGAACAGAAACTACATATTCTTGCTAAGGCTTGTGGCCTCACCCTATCAAACGGAATTTAGTTACTAGCAATCATACAACGAAATATTATTAAAAACAAGGATAGAAAACACCGTGAAAATAAACTTGAATCCAAAAGCTCTCTAACGTGTCCATGCGTTTCCTCCCCCTGTCTCTAAAAAACCCTAATGGCAAAAAAACCTTATTCATACTACTAGAAAATAAAACCCTACCTAGAAAAGGCCTTAGAATAAAACTAGGATACCAAATAAATTAGGAAACATAATCCTAAATTGACTAGTAAAATTCGTCCCAAATCTGCATAGTCTCAAAACAGCCACCTTTCTGGATCTGCAGGGCTCCAAAACAGGCCCAAAATGGTTAGAATTAAAGCTTGAGATGTCCCGAACATAATTGCAGAAGGCCTCAAACCCAAAAGACATCATCTTGGACGCCAAAAAACCCAAAGAATCCTAAAACGTCAGTTTGACAGCACTGTACGCTGCACCTTTATTTCATCACCATAAATAAACCACTTGATAGAAAATTATGAAACTTTGACATGATCAAGTCAACAAACTCATAAACATCCTCCAATTGGAATCACTCCAAAATTCATTCGTTTGACTACTTTTTTCTCCAGAGGAAGTTGAACATCCTACATTAAGAATATAAATCAAAGTATCAAAATTCACACATAATAACCAATAAATTAATACTAAAAATATGATAAAATATATAGTATAATATCGACTCATCAAGCTTCGCTTTTAAAATACAGTTCCTCAAGGCAAGGAAACACTACTATTTTTCCTGTTGGCATCGCAGGTGCTTCCATCCATTCAATTAAGCTCAGGTTACCCACTAATTCATAATGTTTTCAAGGATGGAAATAAAGTCATTGTCTCCGTACTTTCCGCAGCTGCATCGTAAACAAGGTCATAGCCATAAAACTCAGCTCCAATAAATTTCAGGCTATCCATTCTATCAATCTCAAGCAGTGGCGGAGGCAATTAAGGACTACAGTAGTCCTAGGCCTACTCTCACTTAAAAAATAAGATTAGTACACCTATTTCTATTGCTTTGCAGCCCTTCTCAACAACAATTCAATCATTATCTATTTTTCATCTCATAGATACCATCCCGAAAATAAGTATATATTTTAAATGGTCGTTTATTACAAAGAGTAGTGTTATATGCATACATTTTTTTACCTTTAACACACTCTTGTTAATTTATGTCATTCGA